GAATGGAGTCTGCCATCTGCAGACTGGGACAGACTGAGACCTGTGAAATTGTGAGTCCCAAATAAACTTTTCCTTCTCTATGTTGTTCTTGTCAGGTCTTTTTGGTCATAGTGGTGAGAAAACTGCCTAAAATACCCTGTTGCAAATACCTAGTAAAATAGAGTTCTGATGTGTCAATTCATATCAGACAAACTTTATTGGTTTAAAAAAAAAACAACAGGTTGACTGATCCATAAACTACCTAAAAGGCAGAAGGGAAGTTTTCTAGTACTATCTATGATCCAAGATTCACACTTATTCCCTGCAGTACCAATGTAAACTCTGAAATATTAAATTGTGATATTAATTTCTGTCTTAAAACTGGAAGAGTGCAATGGAAGCACAGGCTCTGAACTCGGGTATGTCACTATTCTCAATAAGCCTACTCATTGATTTTCTAAATATATACCAAGTACCATTATGTACCAGAATCTACTCTGGATGCCTGGGATAAACCAGGGATAGACCAGTAAATGTCCCAGCTCTCGCAGAGCTTGCATACTAGCATGTGGACAGCACATAAGGAAAAAAGCTTGATAGATAACTAAATTATATGAAATAATATTTTAAAAAATGGAGTACAGGGCTCTCTGAGAAGCTGTTATTTGAGCAAAGACTTCAAGAAGGTGAGGGTATGAGGATAGGTAAGGAAGAATCTTTGCAAAGATCAGAAAACGAGACTTTGCAAAGCATGCCTGGCCTGTCTGCCATTGAACAAGGAGGCCAATGGAGAGGAGGAGGAGAATAACTGGGAGCCAGCCAAGCTATGGAGGTCAATGCAAGGACATGGGCTTTGATGCAGTACAACTGAGAAACATGAGAAACCAGTTCATGGCAAAGGAATGGCATGATCTAATTGATATTTAAAAAAAATAACTCTGCCTTCTTTAAGAAAAGCAGACTGTATATGAGCAAGGGTTGAAGTGACAAGATAGGTGACTACCGTCAAAGTTCAGGCAAACAGTGGTGATGGCTCAAATCCACACGGTAGTATCAGGGATGGTAATTATGAGTGTTGCTTTATGGATGTATTTTAAATATATAGCTAATAAGGTTTTCTGATGGATTTGTTATGAGATGTGCAGGAAAACACACTTACTACTTCCAAGATTTGGTCTAAAGATGGAACTCTAACAGCTAACATGGGAATGGAGCAGGTGGAACAGGAAAGGGAAAAAAGATCAAGAAATCCATTCTGGACATGTTCAGTTGAGATGTCCTAAACATGCCAATAGAGGACATGAGCTCTACTTAAAATAGATTCGTGAGCCAAGGCAAAGATCTGAGCTGGAGTTAAACCTTTTGGAATAAGCCTTAGTTTCTACATTTATAATATGGTATTATTTCATAATACCTACTTCATCTGGCATTTAAATTTGAAAACACAAGGAAAGCACTTAGCATAGCTGGCCATATAGCACTGATGTAATATATAGCTTGGTAGTAATCACAGTCCGAGGAAATCACTTATGTTGTTCATGATCCATAAACATCACACTTTGAATTTTCACCACTCTATAAAGAAAAACTCACTTAAGCTATAGATGTACATCTGATGAAGCCTAAAAGTACATTTTATTACCAGGTAATCTGTGCTGACATCCTCACCCCAACCCAAGGCTCAACCATTGAAGACAGTCATCAGATGACCCAAAAAGGAAATTAAGAAGGATGCACAAAGAATGTCTTTTTACCCATAATTCACCAATAAAACAGAAACCTTCTTTGGCATCAAAATGGATTTATGTAAAAAAATCCTGCTTAAGATGTACTCACCCAACTCCAGCCTCCTCTGTATATAAATGGCATGATGAAAGCAATGCAGGTGAGCACAGATGTGGTGAGCATGAGCAACCGATGCACCTGCAAAGTGAGATGACAAAGTGAGAAAAAGGCAGCTAACCGTGTAAGAGAAGGAGTCAGTGTGATGGTGGAATAGGATCACAGGGTAGGATTCACAGAAGGCTTGCACCTGACTGA